TTTAAATCTTTGAACAAAAATAATTTTTTTTTTTTTTTAATGCTAAGGTGACCACTTTGGGGTCTGGCACGTTTTATTGAACTTTGGATCAAATGCCAGGGTAACCACATGGGCTACCCCTGACTTTGTTACATTAATGAGGATACATTCTAGCCATATGTACAACTTTTGGTTGTCTATTTAAGCAGTCTTGCATATATAACCTATATGAACTACACTAGATGCCGTACCTGTAATCCACTATTACTTGAGTTACCCAATTAAACCTCTGATCAACTTAGCACCATCGGGATATTCTCCTTAAAGAGGAACTGTCGTGTAAGCCCCTTAGGACTTTAAAGCAGACACACACTACCATCCTTTATCCTTGTGATAAACCTACCAGAGCGATCCATGTCCCACACATGTATCACCTAGATTTTTGGTAATTTACACCTAGGCCGCAGCCAAGTACTTGCAGTTTTTTACCTCTGCTACCATTACATATTCTGTGCCCTTGCAAAGTTCACTCAAACCTCAGCACCCACTTTATAGACTATCAACAGTACTTCAATACTAACCGTTGGTGCCCTAAACTTCCAATCCAGATGGACCAGAAGGGACCAGTAGGTGTCCCCTGGTATTCCAAATGAATCCTTTTTCCTCTGGTTAATCTGGCAGCCTGGTTGGTGTAGTGCTTGCCAAACACTTGGTCTTCATTCAGTTTGCCTTTGGTGTCTGATTCCCCAAATGATAATTCTTTATGTAGCACCATTGAAGATTTGTGCTACCTCTCTACTCGGGACTTCCCAAGCGGGCTTCGGTATCTCCCGATTTCTTGGATTTGTTTGGCTGCTTCACTTAGATTTTGTGTAACTCATGCATTACACTACATTCCACAACCTCCCAATACAAGTTGGTGAGACCAAGGTTACAGGTGCTGACCTGATCGACATATCATACAGTTTTACCGTAATGCATTTCCGCAAATTCAAATTTCATCGCTGGTGGGATTCGAACTCTTGTTCTGCCACTTGGGGTGTGACAACTTACCAACTACACTAAGTCGCCACACCCTCTGAACAAAAATAATTTTGCAATAACTTAAGCAAATTTAATAATTTTTTTTAAATTAATTCTAAAAACTTGTAGAATTTATTTTTAAAACATTGTATTAAATTTAATTAAGCTTTTGTTGAGTTATTTTTGTTCAAAGATTCAAAAAAATTTCATTAAAAAAGATTTGGTGCGTTTCTATTGACTCACCCCCATATGTCCAATAGAGCAAATTAGTCCAATTAACAACACTGAAAACAATAGTGAAACTAAGAAAAAAATCATTGATAAAGTATTTTATTATGGTAACATGTCTTTGGCCACTAAGTAAAATTTTCAGTGCACAATTTTTACATATAACTTAACTTTAACCCTAACCCTACTTAACCCTAACTCTAAATCTCGATTCTTTAAAAAATACATAATAGATGCGATGATGATCACCTACGGTGAGATTTAGAATGCTCTTTATAGGGTAACGGGTGAAAGTGTAGTCTCAAAGAACCTTGAAGTTTTTAAAAATTGTAACTATTGTTTCTTCATGGAAATTTAAAGACCTATAAAAAGGGTCGATGTTTTTATTAAATTGTAAAGGAAAATAGAATGATAAACCATTAGCAAAATCTTAATTTCATTCTAATTTTTTACATTGATCTATCATAGTATGAGTGTCGCCTGAATGCTAATCAGTAATATATAATACACAATTGAAAGCATATATTAGACTCGGCACCTGCAGAAAAAATATCCCAATTATGTCTTATTACATAGAACTATGGCATATTAATTATTGCGAGAAATTAAGTTTCCATGATCACAATGAATTAAATTAATCTTTATTTGCAGTGAATTTTGGATTTTCTCGAAACATTAAAATAGTGAGATAATGATAATAAAATTACTATCAACAATGAGTAAAAATTTGACCATAATTCTTATCCATGCTCTTAGTAAACAATAAAAACGTCAATCTATAGAATCACTTTTGAAAGATATACCTATATAAATACTAATTTTAGAAAAGCTCAATTTCAATAAATAAAAAAAAACACGAATCTAAGCCGCATATGATAAATTTTTTTTAGAGAAAAGCATATATAGATCTACTTCCGAGCAGCTTAGATGAATTGATGTCGATATGGTAATGCGTATAAATTTTTTTTATCCTTTTTAGTCTAAAAGGAAATGTGGAGGATCACGAATAAAAGGACCAATTAAATTTTATACAAATAGCGATAATAGCATACACAGAAATGAGTGCCGTAATTCATGATCTTTCGGAAATTTTCACTTTTAGAAACAGACAATAGCAGATTCTTATAAGCCGTTGCTGAAAATGAAGTTCGAAAAACTAACAATTACAGGTTTTCCCTTTGCACAGAGCCAGTGGTCGTTAGAAGCAAAACTAGCTAGCAAAATTAGCTAGTAAATTAGCAAAATAGCTTATTAAAAAATTTATGTTTATCAATCTAAATTTTAATGTAGTCGTATGTTCTTCAATGAGTTCTTAATATATCATTCCAGTAAGTTCTCTAGTCATCAGTTAAGAACATGCATATAATTATTTGCTTATACAAATCAGTTTAAGAACAAAAGTAATCGTCACATGTTTAGTACAAAAGTAGCAAATTTAGCATCTTAGCACAAACAATGTTGCTAGCTATCTTGCTAAAAAATAGTGCTATTTTAGATGCTACTAAAATCCACTGGCTCTGCCTTTGCAGCACTCAAATGATCTAAAATTAGTCAAAAATATTAGTGTTAGGGCTAATTTACTCCGGTTTATAACATAATGATAATAATGATAAGATCCGAAGATACGTAAAACTTTTATATTGTACTGCATGTCATGTGTTATGAATTTAGTTTGCTATTTATACAATTACTGCAGGGTCACATTTCCATTAATGCATAATGGTTCTATTGTGTGTTACTACAGAAATTTATAATGACTTACGAAATTATCTTCTATGATGTACGTACGTACCCCCTTTTGACGGAATGTGTTAATATTGTTCTTTTTTCATATTAATGAGTCGATTACAGTAAAAGCCTCTTAGCTTGTTTACGAACCGTACTAACTCGATTTCAACCATACGCTATATCGATAGATTTTTTATTAACCACAGTGTATATTACATGCGTATCTGTTATATTTTTCACAAACTTACATATAAAAGTTGGATTTAATAAATTAACCAATCATGATAGAGCGCAAAGTTTTGAATAATTGCGATATGTTGCGATGTCATGTCGCCTTAATTACCTGTAAAAGGTAATAACTATATTCATTAAGGGAATAATTAAACATAATTATTTGTTCAGAAAAGGAATAATTTACCGCATTAAACTTTATCACATGTAAATGTAAATAAACATATTTTTACAAAGAACGCATCATATGAGAGAGGATAGTTATTCGCAAAAGGAATATTTACCCGCATTAAATTAAACCATGTCGCTCGAGAGAGCTACTAACGCTGTGTCATCGGTGTTTTAAACACATATAAAATGGCTTTTTTTTCATAAATGCAATACAACTTTAATTCTGCATTTGCATAAGGTAGAAATTTGAACTTTTATTCAACCGTGGTATTAGTATTAATGATATTAATTGTTGCGTTCGAATATATTCCGAAAAGAAATGAGAAAGTTTCGAAAATTGTAAGAAGGACAAGAACTCTTCAAATATAACTGCACGCAAAAAAAAGTTCAACACATAAACCGCGCAGTGAGATCTTTTTAAAAAAAAGTTCTCAAATTCTAAAATCATGTTCTCATAAATAATTTTTATATCATCTCGAGAAAATTAATGTCTCACACATTAATTAAACATAAGAGAACATGGGTTAAAATAACAATATTTTCAATTTTGGGATAATGTTCCCCTGAGAACAAGAGAACATAAGATTTCCAACATTGAAACTGCACATTATTAATTAGAATGCATTACTTCTATCGTAATTTTCTGTAGGGGTGCTGTCGGTCATTCGCTTCCATTCATTAATCGGTTTTCATAATCCTAATAGTTAAATCTACAAGCAGATAACATCCTAAATTCTCTGCAAACCGCTTTCTTTTTATTAAAAACCAAAATTTGGTAATGTAGAGTGTCATTTGTGCATAATCTTAAGCACTTTTTATGCAATATCTAATTAAAATCGTACGTAAGTTTGAACGGTTATAATCAAAAGGAGCTGTTTCACCGAAAAGTTGACCAATGGAAATTTGTGAGGAATTGCGGGGAACGATAACGATAATGTATTGCAATTCCAAATGAAGGAAGAATCGAGCAAGTATTTATAATTTAATTTGTTTTGTTTTAATGTTTATGTTACTTTTGATCATGGGACCATCCTTATCTTATTATCGTCTTATTACTAGGTAATTAACCGGAAATTTGAGATTTTTATTTATAATATAAAACAATAACAATTACACAATTACACATCGGAATACGAAAGTTTTACTAATGTAATATATGCAGTGTTGGGTTCGTTTATCATATCGCTGTGGTGATAATGAATGCTCGAAAAAGATGGATTTTATAGTATGTATTACCTTTATCAAGACTTATTTATTTGTAAAAAATTTAATATTTTTATTGACAAAATATATAATGTTTTTTATATAATGTTTTTTATAGGTAATCTTAAAAACTAAAAAAAAAAAAAAAAAATCATTGATACAGTCATTGAGCATGCTCATTACTTAACTAAATGATATTCCATTACCGGATCTCTTGCAGTATAGGTGACCCCTTAATAAAATGTATTATTAATCAATTGGCTATAAAATGGGCCACCTATGCTGCAAGAGATCCAATTTACTGACTAAAGTAGTGATAAAGAGAGTATTGAAAAAGCTCTTTATAAAATTATTGAATTGCCATAGATTCTTAACAATTTCATATAGTGGCGTAGTTGATGGTATTTAGTAGGAGCTCGAAACCGAGTTGTGATAATTTACTCAACAGCAATGGAATTAGCGCCATAGCGCTGAGAGAAGTAATTAAATTCAGCGCTATAATTGTTAAGTTCGACAGAGTTGTGAGATAAGTGATTGAATTCAGTGGTATTGTCTGCATCTAATTGACGTGAGTCGTTAGGCTCGATAGAATTGATGGCATCGTGTTTAAATAATTGATTAGGATTATCATCAGGAGGCAAGTAATTGTTGTTAATATGATGCTGAGATGAATCCTTTCCAGAATTAGAGACATAAAGTTGAGACGGGAAATCAGGAGCAACAATAGGATCGCTAACATCAAGCCCAAATGATTTGAGTGTAGAATCAGAATTGTTATTTTGTCGAAATGAATTGTCAGGATCAACAGAATTGGTGACATTGAGCTGAGACGAATGATTAGGTTGATGAAGTTGAGGAGATTGTTGAGAATAACTAATGTGAGATTGATGTAAGCTATCAAGACCAGATACAAAATCTGCGGCACAAGGTTGAGATAAATGACTAAGTTCTGAGTCTGAATCAATAAATCCGTAGTGTTGAAGTAAAGCGCAGTCTGTGCATGATAAAGGCGGATAGTCAGGTGTGGTGATTGGTGTGTTAGGCACAATCGATGTAAGAATATTTGGCTGTGACTGCAATAACTTTACGAGGGCCCCGATTTTTTCTATGCATACGTATGTGTTGTAATTTTAATACTCAAAATTAACTTAAAAAAATAATTTGCATGCTTAATCTTACCTTGCGTCATCTCAAGTTTAAGACCATTATTAACACCATTATTAACATTAACGTTAATATATAATTTATCGTCCTCTCGACTAAAATCGTATTCAATCGGTTTGTCTAATAAAATAATATTTTAAGAATGATAAATGATGAAAAAAAATATATATAGAAGCCAGATAGTTAGTTACCTTCTTTAGTTTCCTTACAATTTGGACATTTTTCTAACTTTTTTTTATCTTTATTTTTTTTGTAACATTTTTTACATTGAAATATACAGGCAGAATTCCTTTTCGTGCACTTTTTGCATCGAAATTTTCCTGGTATATCATTATATTCACATTTTTTCTTTTGCATACGGCAACAAACGCATTTGTTTGAAATATCATTAGTCATGAGTTTAAAAAAAGGATTGGAACACAGCAGGCGAGTATGATCTTGCTATATATAAAATACCCCTTATTCATATTCGAAAAAAATTTCGCAAATTTTAATTCAAAATGTTGGGCTGGTCAATCTTTGGGTACAAGGCATAAACAATCCGATTTATTTTTCGCAAAAAATCTTGCGGTAGCTGCTGTATGTTATAGAAAGCTAATTTCTAATCTTACTTTAAGTCAATAAGTAAGATGGATGAAGCAAGGATAATAAGGAATGTTATTGCCTTTAACAAGACCATTTTAACTCACTACTTTTATCTTGAATAAAGTCGTGAACGCAGCCCTCATCCGTAAAGAAATTTTATAGATTATTAAGTTGTTACATTTGTTGTTTTAATTGTTTGGGACACAAATCCAATATCGACAATTTTTTTCGGAAAAGATTTAAATGAATGATTTATTTGGAATTTCCTTAAAGCTATCAAAAAAAAAAATTTTTTTTTAAACAAAGCAGACGGGTAATGAATTCTGCAAATAAACGTTACAAAATTGTAACTTCATTTTGGATAGTATATACATTATTTATATTTGATTAATAAAGGTTGAAATTTACTGATTTATTACATGGATCATCTTGAATGTCGAAGAATTCAGGCCTGTATTCCTTGCAGAAAGTCAAGGAGAAAATGCACTGCTAATTTTTTACAGCAAACATGCGAGAGATGCCAAAGAAATAATTTACAATGTATCTTTACAGATACGAAAAAACGTGGGCCTAAAGTGCAAGAAATGCCAAATCAATTACATTTTACACATAGCTTACAACCATTGAATGAAATTAATCCTAGCCTTAATTCACAGGTTAGTAATTATTATTTGATAAATATTTATTTCTAAATACGTATTAGAATTAAAAAAGATTCCAATTTCAAGGATAACCTGGTAGATGAGATACTATCGAATAGATGTGCAAGTTGTTACGAACACAAAAAAGCATGTAAGCATAATGGAACTTTAGGAAAATTTAGATGTGAGAGGTGTAGGAATAGGAAAATAGAATGCTTGATTCAATGCACAGAATGTTATAAAAAGAATAAAGACAAAAAAGATAGTTTCCCACAATGTTCAAATTGTAAAGTGACTAGAGAAGGTAATGAAAAATATTTAGTTTATACAATTAGTTGCTATACAATTAATTGCTGATAGATATGCATGCAATAATATTTCTTATTCCATATGCAAGACCCTCCTAAAAATTTCACCTCCAAGTATAATATCGTTATGGACGTGGATGACCAAAAATCGTACCTTCAACATTATAACTGTGACCATAAAATTGAAATCACTTCAAGTAATATTTTTATATGGTTGATATTTCCAGAAGTCACTTCACTGACAATTATTTTATCAATAAATTTTCCTATAGCTTTAACATATATTGTTGGTGAAATAATTATCGGAAAAGTGATCTTTCTATTACAATTTTTTGGACTTTTGTTTAATTTTCTAATAGCTTTATTAGACGCAATGATGAAGTCATATAAAACTGTTAATCCAACGTACCAAGCGGTTACTTTCTCTACAAGCGATAGCCATGAACACTCAAACATCTATGACCAAGGGCATAATCAATTTCCTTCATTATTCCCGTATATGAATTATGATGTTGGAGCATCATGGGGTAATAAAAATTCAAAAGAAAAATCTTTATTACTCATTATTAAATCGGATATGAAAAAAAAATTTTAACAAATTTTTAAAATAAATTTTCACAAATAGCATTTCCTTCACTATCTGTTATCGATCCAACCTACTCTGGTACTTTATCGCCATCTTTCATACCACATCAAGCAATTTCAACACAATCTCCTGTTATTAGTCCTCAATTTACTTTATACGAGAATAACCTCTCTCCAGCAGATTCTAGTCCACCTACTATTAATCACCAATTTGACATCTATAGTACAAACTTTTATTGAAGACAACAACAAATATTTAAACATATATTTATAAATATTTATATATAACTAATCATTTCTATTTCGCCGAGAATATTATTAATAAATTAAATAATTACATATTAATAGGTACTATAGATATATATATAGAATTTATGTACAATGCTCAATCCTAAATTACCCAATGTGATCGAAATCTCATGCTTATAAAAAGCTTATGAATTGACGAACCTATAAAAATGCGAGATTCAATTAAAACAAGAATCGATTCTAACTCATTAACGATTAAAACAACTATTATCGTTATGGAATTGATTCTCACTTTTATAAGTAACGGGTCATATACGTACTAGTATAATAGTATAAATAAAAAGTCATTAAACCAAATTTCAGCTACCGTATCTTTTAAAGTCCAATATGCGCATCATTAAATTTAAGATTATTTCATTATTTAAGATTATTTCATTTTACCTACTACATGCAGTGTTATATTTTCTTATACTGCAATTTTGTCTTTTATTGATGTTTGTCTCTTCACTATGAAGTCATACTGTTGAACCTTTCAAAACCGATATGCATGATGGACAGGTTTTATATTAGTATTGAGAGGTTATCGGTTTCTAAACCGTTAGATGGATTAAATTTTCATCATATTTGGTACGTACGTACGTACGTACGTACATAGGACAGCAACGGTTCACAGGAGTTTCATCGGTTTCGTCATTTCATAAAAATAGTTTCGTCAAACAATTATAGGACAACTATAGAATTGTTGAGATTTATGATCAATTATTTTTCATATTATAAAAGGTAATAATCTAATTAGTACAATATGCTATTTCTTTTTCGATTCAAGTAATAATCAAAGGCGAAATACAAATCATCAACAATAACATCAGGTAATAACATGAGGAAAAAAAATTTTTTTAAACGGAACTTTAATTATAATAATACAATAATTCAAAATTTTTATTTATTAATAAAGCAAAAACTAATAATATAAATACAATTGATAATGCATTAGGAAGGATAAAGTGGATAATTATCAAAATTTAACAGTGTTAAAGAAACATTTTTGTAAAGAAATTTTGCTAATATTTTTTCTTCTTGAGAATTAAGCCCGCTATTGGATATTTTTAAATCAATTAATGTTGTATTTTTATATAAAACTTCAGCTAATACTCCCACTCCTTCAAAATTAAGTGGATTATTACTTAGATTTAAATAAGTTAATGTGGTATTTTTGGAGAAAGCATCCGCTAACATTTTTCCCTTTGCGCACCCAAGTCTATTGAAAGAAAGATTTAAACTAGTTAAAGTGGTATTCTCATGAAATGCATCTGCAAATGCTTTTATATCATGAGTAGAAAGTTGATTATCATGAAGATTCAATGTGGTTAATGAAGTTTTTTTACGAACAGCTTCAGCTAATGGTTTTACCCCCTGATTACCAATGTAATTACAACTAATATCTAAAGAGGTTAAAGAAGCATTTTTACAAAGTGCCTCCGCTAATGCTTTTATCCCCTTTGAACAAAGTCGATTTTTAGAAACATTTAAAGAGGTAAGGGTGAGATTTTTACGAAGAGCATCTGACAATACTTTATAACCTTGAAAGCCAAGTTGATTTTCAGAAAGATTTAAGGAACTTAGAGTGACATTCCTGCAAAGAGCTAATGCTAATGCTTTTATTCCGTCAATACCAAGTTGATTACAATGAAGATCCAAGGAAGTTAAGGTAGTATTTTTACAAAGAACTTCAGCAAATGCCCTTCCTCCGTCACGACCAAGTTGATTAGTACCAAGGTTTAAGGATGTGAGAGTAGAATTTTTACAAAGAACTTCTGCAAACGCTATCGCACCATCAAATTCAAGTCGATTATGGCTAATTTCTAGTGAAGTTAATGTAGTATTCTTATAAAGAGCTGCTGCAATCGCTTTTCCGCCTTCATTGAACAGTTCATTATTACTTATATTCAAGTAAGTTAAAGTGGTGTTTTCGCAAAGTACTTCCGCAAATGCTTTTCCTCCTTCGTAACCAAGTTGATTACAATGAATATCTAATAAAGACAAAGTTGTGTTCTTACAAATCGCATCTGCTAATATCATTGCTTCCCTAGAACCAAGTTTGCAGTTGCAAAGTTTCAGAGAGATCAGAGTATTATTTTTATAAAGAATCTCTGCCAATGCTGTTACTCCTTCAGGACTAAATTTATGATTAGAAAAATCCAAAGAACTGATAGTGGTGTTTTGATGAAGGTTTTTCATTAATAACCTAATGATGTTGCTATTAATGTTTTCATAAAATCTTAAATCCTTGAGTTTTTCACTTGTTCGTAAAAACATTGCAATCAAAGAACATTTTATTGTTTCTATTTGGGCCCTGAATTGTTTAGATCTATTATGATAGTCATTACGGCTACGAGGCTCATCTCCTTCACGACAAAGCCAATCTACGATTCCACGTTCTAAACTATAGTCGTTAAAGACTGAAGTATAAGTTGTATAATCAAATAACGGTTTTGGACCATTTGGAAGTGTTATGTGTGATGAAATTAATGGAGCTTTTTCTTTAGCATTCAATGTTAAAAGGTATATTTTTATAAGTCTT